GTCCGCTGTCTTAATATTTTCTTTTAATCTGAATAAGCTTCCTAGAAATCCGCGAGGCGTATAGTACATGATGTTTAAATAATGTCTTATGAACATAACTTCTATTGAATTTAAGTCGTGTAACATATAATCGTATAGCATCATATTGTGAAAAAATTACTTTGTGCACCAATAAATGTTATATCATTTAACAATTCGAAATCTTTATTAATTATCATGGCGCTACAAGATATAATCCTAATAATATAAACAATTGTGGCAGTTATATTATTTTGAATATTATTTTTCTCATAATTTTATAATTAAAATCGAATAACTTTACTGTTTATTGAAAAATTAATTAATTCAAACAGTGAACGAAGTACTTTGAGCTTTTCCAAAACATTCGGATTGCAGAGACGAGTATACGATATCGCTCGATGACTATAGGAATGTGTTTAATAATGCTTACAAGACTAATGCATACGAAAGATGCTGTCGTATTAGTTTTACACCAACGCGCCTATTACTGTCATCATGCCAACTCAGAGAACGGATGCATAAATGTTTGTCTTGATGGCTGCTATGAGTACTTGTAGCTTCACAATCGCATTTGCGACTATTAGATATAAAAAATAAATCGCATAGCACACGGAATCATACTTATTGATATAAAAGTCGATAAAACTGAGCTAACTGGTACAAAAATACATAGATAAAAATATGAAAAATATTCTCAATTTTTACAATCAAATCAACGAAATAAAAATGAAAGGTCGCTTAAATAAAAAAGATTCAAGTTAAATTAACTTCCTTCCTATTAATTATAAACTCAAAAAAAGCAATACAAAGAATTGTACACAAAAAAATGTTAATAATATAGTAACACTATAAACTTAAATATATAACATTTATTTTCTGCAATTAGACGTGTAACATTGTAGACTGATGTTAATTTGTATAGGATTATTTAATAAATTTATTATAAAAATATTTAATAAAAATATATAGGATTATTTAGAATTTTGGAATTTTCTTTAAGGATTTATTTAGAAAATTTAAATAATTTAGGAGAATTTTGAAGATTACACTTTTATTATGCCGCTTGAATAAAATCATTATTATCGAAAACAAATTATTTTGTAAAGTTAAAAGCATCGGAAAGGTTTAGTTTTTTGCACACCAAACACTTACGCATATATACACAGGCTTCTTATTCACCTCCGCAGATGTAGTCGCGCATTTCTCGTAGTCGACACGCACAGCTTCCAAATCGCGTGACATCAGTTACGCCATATATCGAATAACATGACTTTCGCGAGTTAATTGCGGTTTGCTACATCGGCAAAGTGCTAATGATCACTGGTAGCACCTGTACCGCCGCCGATCATTACATACCCAAATACCTCAGATCACTTTTGACAAGCGCCGAGCCGAGAGAAAGATTGCGTGATTCGCAAACATAAGGGATATATGGTCTATCAACGTGCTGCTACTCGATGTGAACAGCCCTCAGCTATACTCACACCAGCGTCACATCGGGATATTCGCGTATAGCTTGCGCAGTCTAGAATCGTGCTGCAGCTATGAAACCGTAGCCGGAAGTCTTCATCACAAACATGTAGAATAAGCAATTACAATCACTAAGGGAAATTAATGTTGTCGCAAATCCACAGATAGAGATAAATTACTGATAATGAGGATAATTACTGTCATATTATTTTTGTGACTTGAAACAAATTTAACACTTTCTTATAATATGCATGATTCAGATCTGAAATTCTTGAAAGTTTCAGGTCTTAAAAGCTAAAACATGAAATGGTGATTAGGTTTCTAAGAAATTATTTCGTAACAATTTTTTTCTATTTATTTTTATATTCGATATATTTAATATGATTTGAGGATCAAATATAATTATTAAAATTCTCAAATAACAAGATTGTTTATAGTTTTATACCATAGAATATTGTAATTATTTCGTGTAACGGAAAAATGTATGATAGTCACGTCAGCCATCACGCTAATCCTTCTAGCACAACGGCCAATTGTATTCAGCATTTCCCACACAGAAGAATCGATCTTTTACTGATGAAACATGCAAAAAGGGCAAGTAAACATCTTTCTCGTGGGATCAATGTCGTATTGCGTCGGTGGAGCAGTGAAAATTACTCTTCGAAGCTACAGCAGAATGTTATCTCGATTGAGAGAATGCTGGCGCCAAGTCACCGCCTTTGTATGTCCTTTTTCTCTTTCATCCGCAGTCTCTCGCATCCAAACCGAAGGCGCGCGGCCTTTTCCACGGCGCGGCCGGCGCGCGGCACGATGCGGTGACTGCGCCGTTGTCGTCGTTATTGTCGTTCGAATGTCACAACGACACGCATTCGTCGCATATAATTGCTCGCACTACGCATTGTTTCGTTTTTCTCCTCCCCTATCCCTCGCGCTTTTCTGTCATCGTGGTTGCGGTTGGAGAACGCCTGGCTGCCCGTGGTATATTTTCGTATCGCCTATTTATATACGCAAGAAGACTGCCAGTATGTGCCCGGTGCTCGTAGATGCCGCGAAGTTCGGGTCAAAGGACACGCCCCGAAGAATGTCGACAGGGAGAAAAAAAAGCATATTGGATGAGATACGTGTTTTGGCGTGTGCGGTCTCTGCGTGTGGATTATAGTAACCTCGTTTCATCGGTACGATTTCATAAATCGCGACAAGCGCGACGCGCCAATATTTCGCGCTAATGATGTCGAAAGTAGAGGCAAGGTGACTATAACGCGATCTACTACACAAATTTATTCTGTACGTGTATAATTAGAGAGACATGCGGGAAGAAGAATGTTCGCGAGCCGGAAGATTCCCGGGTCCTCTGTCTCCCGCTCGATCTCCCGGCGCGCGTTCGAAAGATTCCTAACAAACCTGTTTCGCCGCGCACAAACGTTAACGACTTTGCGGAGAATTTACGATTATGTAGGAAAGCGTGCCGTGTGCGGCTTTTCGGGACCGCAGCCCCGGGAAACTGGCTACTGTCGTTTGTCGAAGCCGCTTATTACTTGTTTCGCCAACGCGGCTCTAGGAATAGTCTTAATGGTATAGCGTGTGTATGCGCGTGAAGAATCTCGATATTTTATGGCGGCGATTATCGTTTAGCCTGTCCGTCGCGGCCAAATCGCACTACCGCGAGCGTCGCCTCTTATTTTCATCATTAGGCTGTGACTAATCTACCATATTACCGTGACGAGACGCGCCCGAAAGGCGTCTTACCGAGAACCTCGCGCCCTGCCAGACTCTCCAAAAGTTCTCGTTACACATGTAACGGCTCGGATGTGAGAAAAGTCATAAATGTTGCCGCGTGCGTTTTCACGCGACCAAAGACATAATCGAATTTGGGCTGCGACGAAAATGTTATCATTTTAGTTTCGACTTATGTCGAATTCAATTTTCTCGGATGTATTATATCTTTTAACGCGAAAAGCGTGTGTAATGTGCCGTACTGTGTATAAAAATTCAAAAGATACATTTTATGTAAAATCTTATTGTGTTCTCTGCTACAAGGTATAAATTCCATTTACAGCTTTCTCTACATTAGCCACCTGTCATATAAATAACACAAGCATGTGAAAATTGATTGTATTATAATAATGTTGATACTGCGAAGAGAAGTCATTGTCGTCTCTTGAAGGCGAGAAAGTGCGAGATGCAGGACGCCTTTAAGAGTTTTAGCTCTTTTACGGTCCGATTACTGAGTGACTCACCGTCTCAAAATGCAACCATAAAACAATTCTTTCCGGATTATACAAATGATAGGCTACTTCCCACCGTTTACATTCGTTGGCTAATCCCGCTAAGACGTAGGCGTGCACATTTGTTCCTCGCGCGGCTTTGTCTCGTGGCATGATAATGGATATCTGAATAAACCTGAGTATGCGCCATAATAGCGTACAATGACATTAGAAATATCAGTAAAATTGAAAGACGCTGCAAAATGGGAAGCTCTGGGACTTCAAAACAGTTGTGTATTCTCGAAGGAAGGCAACGAGAGAAGAGGCAGAACGAGAACGTTATAAGTGTCAGGTGAACAAACGTATATATGTACATGATGTTCCATTTAGTTTGAATTTCGGGAAACCCATGAAGAAGATGAAAAAGGAGAGCAGAATGCGGATAATTTAGTAGGTGCCAGGTAAAATAATGAGTTTGCGAAATTCTTCAAATCACCGACGCGCATCCTCAATTCATCACGGAAACGAGGATCTTTATCACGCGGAAGAATGTAAACACCATGAGACATCTTAGCACACGGAGACCAATCACAGGGGCCGTTCTCTATTAATTTCACCGTGCTCTTCCACAGCTCGCTGTCCAGATTGTACAGCGATAATTGTTGTGATTATCAAAAGCTATTTTCTTGCGACGACATGACATCAATTAGTATCTTTCAACATTATTACAACAAGATTTAAACCTTCGCGTTTGATTTGGTGTTGCCAAAGTACTTAAATAAACAAATTGCTGCATCATGTAAAGCCATTGTATTTTGCAAAAGAAGATTCGCTTCACCAAACTAATTTCGTGCGCAACGCAAGTTCGTGAACGCAAAAAAGAACTTTGCCGATAACGAGGTACATGCCTCCTGGTTTCAATCAACGGCCAGGGCGAGTCGCGAAATGTCCGTCAACGCTCCTCGTCGCCAGAGTCGTGTGCGAGCAAAAAATGATTTGTCTGCTCGTTTACGTCACTCATCCCTCCAACATTCGTGCAATAAACGGATATCGGAGGCGAGGAGAGTCGCGGGAGAACGAACACGATCGTTGGTTTATTATCTTATTATATTTCGCACGATAGCTCTATGCATGTATACACGTGTGTGTAAAGTGGCGTACATACATATGAGTACATGCACATGTGTGTGTTTGTACGTGATGTGTGCTCTGCCGCACGATTGCAGCCGCGCATGGTGAGGCTAATTGCAAACCAGCCGTTGTGCGGAGAACGCAGCGGGGGAACAGAATCTCCTCTAAAGCCACGGGATGTGGGATATTTCTGATCTATCAGTCAAGCAATCAGTTCGCGTTCGCTCTCGCAGAAAATACAAAATAGCGTTGAAAGCCGGTAAGTAGCAGGATGCGGAGATGATGTCGAAATTGCTCAGATACGACATTCATTTTGCTATCATCAGACTGTTCGGGACAGCTACCAAGGAATTAATAAGTGACTCTAGCGAGATGCCCGCCAGCGATATCATTACTTTCTGATTAAAGCAAGGTATGCGCAATAATGCGAATGATTAGTGGCTACCTGAAACCGGGCTGATATGCATTCCCAATTAAAATCTCCTTGGCCGACGCTATGATCGCACAATTTTCAATCTCAATGACAAGTAGAAAGAATTTGATATATTATATTCAATAGATATTTTGACAATTGACGGGATTGCTGATCACACGTTATTCAATAGTCACTATACTGCAGTAACGTATCATTATGTTTTATCATTAATATATGGCTAAATACCATCGATCATTATCAACTTGCGGCAACGTTGAGATGAGCGGCCTTTTAATTTGTGCCAAAAAACATTTCTTTCCCACATGATTCTCTGAAATTTATTTTAATGTTCAAACGTGGCGACAAAATATCAGAAAGAGAGAGAGAGAGAGAGAGAGAGAGAGAGAGAGAGAGAGAGAGAGAGAGAGAGAGAGAGAGAACACAGAGA